CATCAGGCGCGGTGCAGTCATTTTGTCGAGTCGCAATAAAAAAAAAATAAATAAAAAAAAAAAATAAAAAATAAATAAAAAAAAAAAAAGCATAGCGTTCTAGCAAACCGTGCCAGTACCCCGATTCGGAACTTCGATATTTTAAACGAATCCTTCGATTGGATATCGTTCTCGTATCGAAGGGCGCTTTCCGAGGTATTCACAAGATTCCGAGTTAAGCGTTTACAGAGTTAGTCGGTGAAATAGATTGTAAGAAAAATGAAAATCCTATTGTATACATTAAATACCTAAAATATAGGAATGCATTAGTCTTGCATTAAAATAAATTCATAAAATTGATCAAAATTTTCTGTATTACGTTCTTGCTTTGTAAGCAATAGGGCGTTGGTAACTTTCAGTCGATAACTGGAATCTGAATAGCCTTTGCCTGTCGAGAAGTACGAGTAATCGTACGGGTGTGACGTCATTTCGGTTCTGTTTCGAATACGACAGTTTGACGTTCGACTCGTGTGTTGTGAATAAAATTGAAAAGAAATCTGTCGACAACTGAGTTATCGTAAGGTTCTGAATTGACCCCCAGAGCACGTTGGTTCGCATAATTATTTCACAAAAATAATTTAATGTCATTGTGGTGAAACATCCAAACATTCAATAAAACTGAATTATATTTAACCAGTTAACATAGACTCCTGTTGTTACAGTCCCGCAGCCATCAAGCGGATGCAGACCTGGATCCGTTTGGTCTGGATCAGTTCTTGACGGAAGCCAAGCGCGCCGACAAGTCGGGTCGCAAACGCGACCATCACGACCGCCACGACCAGCATGCCAAGAAACGACGCGACTAGGTCCGTTTCACATAGGTTTAAATTTTCTTTTTTGATGCTCTTCATCCAGTAGAGATCTTGTGAAAGAGTTCGTCCAGGGAAGTGCTGCCACCTTACCCATTTCCACTGCCAAGCAATAATGTCAGAATTACTGTGTCCCGGTGTTGAAGGGTAAGGGTGCTGATGAAATTACAGGCACATGGGACTTGTGAACTTGTCTCAGGGTGACGGGCGCAGTGGTGTTGCCCGTCAGATCTTTGCGATTTAAACCTCTGAGTGGCACTGCAACTGTTATGGATAGGCGTGTAGCTTGCCATCAGGCGCACGACTTGTTCGTCCTGTCACTTGATATTATACAAAAAAAAAACCCTTTGTAAATACGGTGCGTCAAACAGAAGAACATTATAAATCATGTATTTCCGAAACACGTGTTCTTCAAAAATTAGGTTGAAAGGTAATCGGTGAACGGCGCTGCAATTTATGGAAAATGAGTTTTTGACTTCCTTTTCTTTTTTAATGATTCTGTCCCGTGCCGAAAGAATCGAATTTTAGTATTCGTTTTATGAAATAATATGAAACTTCACACATTTATCCGCGCATGGAATTCATGGCCGAAAGAATTGGGCAGATGCCATTAGTTTCGGCACGACAATGGGGACGATGCGTCCGCATCCCCTGCTACCTGTGTTGCCACCTTGGGGTATTTTCCCTTAAATTCAGAGACTTTCGCGTTTTCATAAAAGATTTTCAATAAATTTACCGAAGAATTTGGTATATTTCTAGCTATTTCATCTTCCGTCAATAAAGAACTGACTATAAAAACCTCGTCAAGTTCCATCACAAAGTGCAGATGTTGTACGCTTTGATAACACATCAGAAATAACGAAACGTGGGTAATTTTTTCACGGCAGTGTTTAGCACTGTAAGCTCTGCGCTGTTTGGCACTGTAGGCAGGTGTCAGAGCTTTGAATGCTCCAGACTCCAGAGACCAGCTCTCGTTCAGCAGGGTGACCTTCGCTAGGCTGTACGCTATCCCTATAAAGGGTTCGAGTCCAATAAAGGTTTCCTCAGCACCTAGTCAATGTAGATTAACTTTTCTATATTGTCTCGAGTCTGGGTGTTTGTGGCAGCGTCGTTGTTTCCGATTTCCGTAACACAAGTGCATTAGCTACTTTGACATCAGAGCAACGCATGTGATGTTGTCTAATACCTATTTCTATTTCGGCGTAAACAAGTGTACGACCACCGTAAGTGGTAGCATTACTATTCAAACTGACATTAATTGTTCTCAGTATTTTTTTTATTTCTAATTAAAAATCCGACAAAGAAATTGTTGCGCCTTCTTGTTTATGCCTTTTATAGTTGTTTATGAACATAATAATATTAATGTTGTTTGTTTCAGCTTTACAAGTGTTCGGCTGCCTTCATTGTGTTAGAAAAATTCACATTATACTGTGTCCAACCATTTATTTTATTTTTGACAGCTGGAATTCAAATCAATTAGTGATGTCTTAATGTGTTTCTGATTCGATTTTTTATAACTATAGATTTTATTTATGAAGAAGTTTTAATCGTGAATATGAGCGGGTTCAAAAAAATGATATTGTCTGATTGGGATTGTGATGTTGCATTTAACATTTTGTGTACTCAAGAATTAATAATTAATGTTAATGGGGATTCAAGTTATGATTCCCGTCGAGAAGAATCCGACGATTAATTATAATAAACAATAAGAATTTGTTATAATTATTTGTGATATATTTCATTTCATTATAATTTTATCCAATTGAATAACCTTCGTTACATAATCTGTTGGCTCGATTAATATCGGATAAAGAGCACGTCGCTTCACTAAAATTAAAAAATAAGATTCCAGGAAGTATTGCTTTCTTGTCTATGGTTGTATGTCAATAATTACGGAACTTCGGAGCCATGCATATGTCAAAAGTTAAATAAATAGTTGGACGGAGTATACTAAATTGCATACCGTGCTGTACATAATATAAGCTAGTTTCGAAGTGGACTTTGTAATATTACTTTTAATAATAGCTGTAATAAATTTATGTTTAACAATATTGGTATGTCTTTGTTTATTATTATTAGTATTTGGGCAGTGGGGGGGTCTTCTGTCTGTGTCGAAAAAATCAAGATTGTGGACTTACATAAATAAAAAACCTGTAACTAACACAAAGATTATTTTTTTTAAATTCTAGTTTTTCGTATAGACCCCTATCGTCCTCTATAATATTCTCTTAATACCAACGCCTAAATACTTAACATTAAAACGTCGTAATATTCGTAATTCATACATTTTTGGTAAAATTTTACTTACTTTCACAATCTATCGATAAAACTGTCGACAACTACATGACTTTAAAATTTTATGAAAATGGCATCCCTGCAAATGTCATAAAAAGTGTCCGAACGTATAGGGCGTTAAAATCGTATACAGAGCGTCATTCACGCTTTAGTCTTCGTTTGTTCGACTGACAGCGAAGCAAGCAAAATTAGACAGTACTGCAATGACATTACAATTTAAATTCAATGTTTTAGCTTTTTCATATTCGTTTACATGTCACTACGTCTAAATAGGTTGACTTGGGACATTGTTTTCGTGGTTTTTGTATTAGACCCGTCGTCCATTTATTTGTAAGTCAATGGTTAGTAAAGTCACCGGTTCAAAAAAAAATCGCGCTGCTTAGTATAATAATCGAATTGGACTTAAGCGGCCATTTACAAATAAATAGTACAGAAAAGCAAAAAATGTTCCTGTTAAAAAAATCTTAAAAAGACGCCTTGGCAAACTTAAACAACACTTGTTAACAGACAGGACGTTAGTAAAGTTAATTTCACAGGTTCCATAACGCTAAATATAAAATTTATTACATTATTTTAACAATTAATTACTTGTGAACAAAGTTTCATATCGCGAGAATCGCGACAAGTGAACGTAATTGTTGCCACTTTCTTTTTTAATTAAACTGCTAACTGACATGAGCTTCTCTTTCTTTTACGTAGGCTAGCCATAGTATTTTTCGTTATTTATCGTCCAACATTTACAAAATGCTAATAGTCCATTTTTAATTAATATGTTATTGTAATATTTGTATAATAGTAAAAAAAGTTTTACACTTATAGTCGTCACCAAATAAGAGGCCAAATTTGACGCTAAAGAAGGCGATAGTATGTAACTTTGACTCAACGAAACAATAAACAATTATTAGCATAATTGAGTTTAAGAAAAGTACATACATTTTATTGAAATATTATCTAATATAACAAAACATGTTTGAAGTACTATTTTCGCACGAATTCCAAAATAAAATGCAATTTTGAGTTACTCCGAAACGTCCTGAAGGTTGTGGTTACGTCCTCAAGCTATTATTTTTTAAATAATAGTGTTGTAAGCAATTAATCGCCGAATTTCACCGAGTCACTTCGATTTCTCGGAAAAAATATTGACTTATTAAATATTAAAACAAAAATGTATAAAAATAGGTGTATTTTAAATACTTATGTATATTACATATCTGACCACACCTATTGCAAATAAATTTTTAATTTATCAATTATAAGAACCCCGTACTCATAGCCAGATTTGCATTTCCTTTTCTTTTGTAATTGAAAAATTGTGAAATCGTTGGTTTCTTGGTAATTTTATCTTTTTATGTAGTTGTTTTATCGATGAACATAGGTACTTATTTACTAAATTCTCGTAATAAACCATTTATGATTATAAACTCAAAATTAAAAGAAATGGATGCAATTCATCGGAATGTAGGACAATTTTACTAAAATAAGAGAAATTGCCACAGAATTCCTAGGAATTCTGTAAATGAATTCATTTTAAATTGCTTTTAACAGAATTGCACGATTTGGCCTTTTAGGGCCCCTGAACAACAATGAACCGAAAAATAATGTAAACAATCACTCTTAAAATTTTGAATCAATTTCTCCTGAAAATCGTTTAATGTGATTACCAATATGATTAGTCCACACCCCTATTCGCATCACGATAACAAGTGTCAAATTTGGCGTCTTATTTTGTGACGACTATAGCAACATTCTTCCCTAAGAAACATATTGGCGGCAAGTTAGTACGGGTCTTTAAAAAGCAACTTATCGCTATACGCTATAAGGTTTAAATTTATGTGAATATTCGATCATAACTCGATCATTAGCGGGTTACTGACGAGCCATTTCCACCAATGTATGACAGCGGAATTTTGCGAATGTGTGCGTGAATTTTGATGTTGCGCGTAGGTTTTATGAATGAAATGAAAGCCGAAAAATACCGGCTTAACTCGGGCTCTGATTGGTTAATAAGATCCATCGAGAAGCTCCGTATTATCAAGTCTAGGACAGGTTACTTACTACACGTTTATTCATGAATATTTTAAGCAAAGTTTGCGCGCTGTCTCGTCTCGTACGGTGTTTTGATAATACGTGGAAAACTTTAGGCAAGCCGGTGGGAATCGAGTTATATAAATAGATAGATAACGCACACACTCAACATAACCCCGCACTAGGGAAACCCTGTGTCGCGAGTGCCATGGACACACACATAGACAACCACAAATTACACCCAAACTCACGAGAGAAATAATTGTAGATCATACAACTATTTCTCCCGGCCCGGGAATCGACCGTGGTCTCGCCACTGCTACATGAAATAAATCGGTTCATAAAAACAAAATTTATTTTTTATCACGATATTTATTGAAATAACAGTATTTCATAACATACATAAATTGGAAATATACGCACAAATTATCTCCGGGTGTACGCTAACCACACGTTAAAAAACAATTGTGGGAGAACAGCCAAAATCTTCCAAATGGTGGTATCATATAGGCACTCTTTTGAACAGCCATTCAGAATCAACCGCATCAAATCAGCTCTTTGAGTGGTCAAAGACACCAAATAGCGGTTACTTATTTAAAATTTTGGCTGTTTCAACCCAATTTGTGCAAAAAACATCAAAGCACTACGTAAGACACATTTCGGTAATAAAAAATAAATATGTATTCTACAATAACAATACTAATTTTACTGAGAAATACATATTATGCATGCATAAAAAAATTCATAAAGTTATTTACCCCTGGTACTTCAGGTGTGATGTAAAAAGAAAATTTGTGACGTTTTAATGAGGCCTCGTCTTTTTAGAATATCACTATCATCAGATCTTTAACATTTAAAACAACATTTACCGCTTTCACTATTAGATACACAGTAAAAGGTTAGGTGAATAAATGCTAAAATGTAGGCGCGATTTACAAGAATGCAAGCGTGTATATAAAAACATAATTTAGGAAATAATTAGCTTTAAAAATTACTATATGTCTTTTGTTTCTGTCATATGACAATGTGATAGGCCCATCATCTATTAGAGACACATGCACAGCAGTGGAATGTATAAAACTAAATAACAATTATCAAGTCAATTTGAAAAGTACACTTTTGAAAGCTCAAATTGAAAGTACCAGGGCATCATAGGCAGCGTACATCCCAAATAAAGGTTTACTTGTGCTTCAAAATAGTGTTCCTCAGTTTGTCTACGTTGGCGCCAGAGAACTCGTCCAGTTTCTTCGAGTTCTTGACAAACACGAAGGTGGGCATAGAATTGATGTTGTACTCGGTCGCAATGTCTTCGCATTCGTCTACGTCCACCTGGAAATAATAATTCATTGATCATATTCAACGATATCTATGTACTAACGTACTAGATGCGGCGTTCCATATACAACACACGCTGTGTTTTTCATACTGCTTCTTTTTAACCCAAGCTGGTAACATTAAGTAAAATAATAAACATTGATTGTTAGTAAAAATGTTTTAGTAGGTATTATTTCGCCTATTTAGTGCGAAATATGGAGCTGCTGCTTATTTTTTACTAAAAAATCCAAGTTCGCGGAAAAGACGGAAAGTTTTATCATCCTGAGGTCTGGTTCCATTTCAACGAGGCGAGAATTTTTTTTTTTTTTTTTTTTTTATTGCGACTCGACAAAATGACTGCACCGCTCCTGATGGAAAGTGCGAATACAGTTCAGAGATGAGAGTAACGGATGGAAAACACAAATGGTGCCGGGTCGCGACCCACCAAAAGGAAAACGCTGTCATAGACTAATAAGCAACAGAGTGTTCTGACTACACAATGAGTAGGGATAATATGAATAAAATAAAGACTAGGCTGCATCGTCTAAACATCTTTGCCTTTCCGCCAGGAAAAGTACATAACATAACATCATTTTAACGTGTATTCATACAAATATATGGTACGAACGCATTGGAAAAATGGAACGAATGGAAAAATCGGACGTGTGACAGAATAAGACAGAACCAGTGATTCGCGTAGCGACGACAATTGGGGCGACCATAAGTGTGCTAACCTTATAATCATTAACGTAATGTAACAAATAATAATAAAATCTTATTTTATTTATTTAAAATAGATACCCAAAATAATAATAACCTGGCAGCTTGAGACGGTAGGATTTCTGTAACGTGTCGCTTACAGCACAAATGCAAAAGGTCGTCCTTGCTCGACACGGCACGTATTGTTCGCCGGTTCTTGAACCTGAATCCCTGACCCCGGTTGACTGCGCCATTGCCGGGGAATACCGCCTCTTTTTATTCAAAATTAATCTTTTGGGCCATGGGAGTGGCGAGAGTCTAAAATAGATATGAATAATAATAAATATCTTTATTTATCTCCACAATACAAAACGAAGGAACATACTTATTATTATATAAGCATAGAGTATGCCTTGTGGGAGACTGGAGTCCAAACTACGAGGAGCTTATGAAATGGGTGTCCAGGTACTCAACTTCTGTGTATAGTCAAATGTTACTGATGGCGATGTCAGTATTGAGGGAATGTATAATTTATACCTCAATAATAACTAAAAGAAATTATTGTTTATGTGTGTTAATTGGTTAATGTTCCGACCGTGGTCTACCCTCAATATTTAGAGAGACCCGTGCCCAACAGCGCGACATACACGTTAATATACTGCGTACAGTAAACTATACGTAACATTTTCACACTCAATACGTATTGCACATGTGAATGATGTCATGCGAAATATTAACTTCACGATCCAAAACAAAACGTGATAAAAATATTGTACCTACAACATTATTTACAGTTGTTTATAGTTATTTGTCTCACGTCGAATGTCATATTGTTGCTATGTTATCTAACAAAACATAGATTAAAATAATCCAGGAAAAGTACCAAACATTGTTTAGCAAGGGGATTCCTTTATATCAAAGACAGACAAATATAGAGACAATAAAACCACATTAATACCCGATATACCGCTTCAACTTTCCTTTCAAACAATCGATAAAGTTACAAGAAAATATTTATGAAGGAACAATAGAATTTCATTCCGCCTTGCTGAGTAACCTACGTAATACGTACGAGATTTTAAGACCCTAATTAAATAATGATTGCATAAACAACACATTTAAAAATAAATTATTTGACTTGTTATGTGATCTGCGTACATAATTCGACCCCTCCTACGTAAAGTATCGTATGTCAAAATTGCCAAGTTTACAGGAGAGCGTTTTAAACTTCTGAATTCACTGAAATAAGCATAATACGTGACTTTAGCATTTCTCAGTTTTATTCGGCAAAGCTTGTTACTCACATAGAGTATTATAAAATTCTAGATATCGGTTAGATGATCTATTAGACGATCACTCTATGTGAGTAACGAGTGAATTCAGAACTCTCAAATACTCCCCTGTAAACTTGGCAATTTCGACATACGATCCTTTACGTAGGAGGGGTCGATTATGATATCAAAGATTATTTAAAATGAAAATAAATTGACACGACCTCGTTTATAAGAATAAATGCTTCAAGATATTTGTAAGAATTTTTTAATAATTTATCTAATGTAATTAAGTCACTACAAGGACTTACTTTTAAATCACAATTGACAAAATGGTTTTTGACACCTTGCTTTTAAAGTAATAAAGAATATTTAGAAGTTACAAATACCAACTCATATTAATTCGAAACGCAAATTGATTTGTAATTGTAGATACAAAACAATGTGAAACATCATTAACATTTGCACACCTGCGGGCAGGTTGAATACAATGTATCTAATTTTACTCAAGATCTGTACAAATTCTGTATTCCGACAAATAAACCTATTCTATTCTATTCTACAATACTTTTTCTACGAGTAAATTAAAACAATGAAACGCTACCAATATTTAAAGATTATTTGTTAACAATCTACAACAAGAAACTCAAACGAACTCCACATATAAGCTACAAAACAAAAAATATAAGAAATAAAGTGTTTGTGATTGTCCGAGTACCGCTTAAAATTTAAACCAATCAGGAGGCAGTAGCGCGTTGAGTAGTGGCGCCATATTTGATATTCTGTTTTTAAATTATTCTTTTTTGCCAAATAGTTACGCCGATGTTATTTAAGAAAATAATTAGAATTTTAATAATTTCACAAATATAGTGAAGTCATTCTGTTCAAGAACGGCGGCCGCGTCTGCTGCGCGTTTCAGTGCTGCCGGTTCATGAACTCGTACATTACAAAAATTCCCGCGCCCGGAAAGCTTCCGCGGCCGCGTCTGTATGGCCGGACCATTACTGTGTTCCAGTTTTGAAGGGTTTACGAGTCGATACTACCTATGCTCGAATCCAAATGTTTCCCGTACTAATAAGGTACATTTTGCTTGAGTCAATCGGAAAAGACACAGGATTTATTTCAGAACGAATTTTTTTTACAAACGATATTAAAGCTATTTGAAAACTGTATATAGTATACCTACTACACGTGTTCTATTGAGTTCAGTTGATATAAAAAAAAATCATTGAATACACCGGTTTGCTTGCAAAATTTCGAGGTAACTTTGTGTTTTTTTCTATAGCGAAAATTTTTAGGAAGCGTGTTTTCACTAGAGATGAGATTAACTGCTATGTTCGCATAGCACGCTAAATGCTAAATTTTTAGCAGCTCAAGGTCGTGTGATAATGTAACGAATGGACACAATACTGAGTACTCTCAACTCTATACCTGTTACAATTTAACACTCCAGACATTACCCGCAAACCTAGATTAGCCTTTTTCTTTATGATTACCATTGTACCAATGTCATAAGCTTGTTTGTAATGTACTGTGATTCAGCAAATAAACGACTAATCTATCTATCTATCTACTTAGACGGTCCCTGCGCGGGCATGCTCGCGCAAATCACAGCGCCCTTCTCGTATACCCTAAGAGACAGTAGGCAAGGTCACTATAATCAAAACTAATCTCTCATAATCTCATCATATATGTGATAAAAAAGAGCAGAAATCGAAAAGATTCAGTGCAGGCTCTTGAACCAAAAAGAAACAACCTTCCCAACAAGGTTATTAGAACTCAAACTTCAATTGCTGTAATAAATATAGCACGCTTCATGTCAAATTACGCCCATTTCAAAACACACACCACATGTTTTGAAATGACAGTAATTGGGGGGAAAATTATCGCCTTACCGATAAGATAAGGCACGATGATTACGGAAACATTAAAATATGGTTACAGGGTAACTCTATTTAACGACCTATCGGTGAAGGGAAGATAAAGGTTAGACTCCACTAGTCAGAATGCATCAGCACCGTATTCGTTGCAGTAGAGCTCTTTGTGAAAGAGTTCCAGGCTAGTACCCTATTTCCGCCGCCAAGCAGTAATGTTAGCATTACTGCGTTCCGGTTTTGAAGGGTAAGGGTGCTGGTGAAATTACAGGCACATGGGACTTGTCAACGTATGTCCAGGGTGACGGGCGCAGTGGCAGTGCCCCTCAGATCTTTATGATTTAAAGCTCTGACGTGAGTGCAGACTCCAGCTCTCTCAAAGGTATGTAACTTGTAAACTTACTAAATGTACCTAAGTTGTAAACTTTGAAGAGAGAAATAAACATTTTTGTATTTGTATTTTGTATTTGTATCTGAGTGGCACTGCAACTGTTATAGAGAGGCGTGTAGCTTACCATCAGGCGCACTACTAGTTCGTCCCGTCACTTGATATTATAAAAAAAATACTTTATATAAAACGCGTACGTTGAAAAACACAGCGCTGACGCTTAGTGACGAGTAGGATCCAACTAGTGTTGTAACTTGAAAAAAAAAACAAATGTTTTTAATTTTTATTTACAGTGCCACTCAGAGCTTTATATCGCAAAGATCTTAAGGGCACTGCCACTGCTCCCGACACCCTGAGACATAAGTTGCCTAGTCCCATGTGGTTGTAATTTCATTAGCACCCTTACCCTTCAAAACCGGAACGCAGTAATAAGTCACAGTCGTGCTTGGCGGCAGAAATAGTTAAGATGGCAGTACTTCCTTGGACGAACTCTTTCACATGGAACTCTACAGCTACTAAAAGACCAAACTACTTAGTTAAAATGAACGTTTTACTGCCTCTCGTAACATTATCTAAGTACATTCACATTAAATTACCACATGATTAGCCCACGTAAGCAAAGTCATATAAAGTTTTATCATTTGATGAGATAGCGTATCAAATCAAACAAACAGATTGGAAACTATTGTGCAATGTTTCTCTGACACTCGTTGCACTTGAGTATAAATGGGAACTACAGATAATAAATAATTTTATATAGTGACTATAAACTCGCAAACAGCTTGGAGCCGTTACAAACGGTGACTTCAAAAAGCAATGATAGTGAAACGCGCGATTGCATATCAAGTGTCGCTTATGTTCAGTCATTAAACACCTGAATTGCATTCCGATTAGCGATAGACAGTGGGTTAAAACCCAAGCAACCCGCCCGGGTTTTTACCCAAAGCCGTGCCCAAAATCGTGGGCAGAAACGGCGGATACAGAATTTAGTATAATTACATACTTATTACAAATTTCGATGTAAAAATGTTTTTTAGACGAAAAAGAGACAATTCCACACAATACCCAATTTGCAATCCTGTGGATTCTCACTACAAAGAATGCACATTCATGAAGATCGATTCAAGTGCATATGATTTAACGATTCAATAGAAAGGCAAATTAAGGCGTCTAGATTCAGCATTTCCCATTTTACCGGGTCGCACCTAATATCTACAATCGATCGACGTATCGTACGAGTAAGTATTCGTAAACGGCGCCTGACAACTGACTGACAAGAGAGCGCCAGCAAGAACGACAGCCGAAGAAATATTTAACTGGATTAATACACAAAAATAACATTCTTTTAAATTTTTATTGAATTGATATTCAATTCTTTTTTATGTGAAATTACTCCACTAGTTTGTTATAATTATTAATACATAGATTAGACTTAGAAAAAATTCCTTCGATCCGGCCGGATTCGAACCGACTTCTTCTAGCATACCGAGCCAGACGCTTTACCAACTAAGCCACGGTACGAACCAGCGGACCTCACGAATTTTTCTATGTGCTTGTTGTCGTGTTTTTGTATTTGGTTTTTCAACGACTTTTTAGCCGTAGCGCCATCTATGAGAAATCTATGAAAGCATTTCGTCACCCAGTTAGAAGATACCTTTACAGCTACCAGCCCCGGCTAAAGATGTCTGAACATTATTTTACTTAATGTAAAGCTTGGGTTTAAAAGTATTGAGTGGGTCACGAAGAAGCAGTATGAAAATTATCGGGCCTTGGCAGAACAATGTTTGAGAAACATTGGTCTAGATCAGAAATATTATTACCAAATAAAACTTTTGTAATATCATTCAATTCGAAAAAAACTCGATTTATAACAAATATTCAGTTGGAACTTTTGTTCTTACCTTAAGTACGACGATGGAGTCGGTCATCTCTTGCGCCATTTCGTCTAGTTTGGGCCCGATCATCTTGCAGGGCCCACACCAGGTTGCCATGAAGTCGATGACCACCAGCTTGTCGCCGGCTTCGGCCAGTCTGGTCTTCAGGTCATCGATGTCTTTGATGTGGATCGACATTTTTACTGGAATGTCAGAAAAAAAACATATAGTTTTGTATAGTTGGCAAGCTAATACAAAACGTACCACCTGATGTCAAGTGGTACCTTTGATGGCTTAGACTCGCTGGTGATTGGTACTACTTATCCCCCATACCCTTAAGCTGGAACACAATAGAGTTGTAATAAAACAGCCAATAGCTATTGATAATATTTCTTGATTAATTTTCCTGTACAAATCGAATTACTACGTATGAAGCAGGTGTTAACTTAATTCCCATCAACTGAAGTTTCGAAAAAAAAATCAGCCGCTCGATATATTTTAGTCCTTGATATAGAACGGTCATTCTCGGATGGTCGCTACCTAGTTTCCGTGGAACTTTTTCTTATTAAATAATTGTATCATGATATATTATTTAATTTTTAAATAATATTTCACTATACAGTACTCGAATATTAAATAATATTGCACGATCAAAAATCAAATACATAAATAATAAAAATTGCCACAGAAATTAGCCTTAAAAGTTCGATTTCAATAAAATTGAAATGTCAGTTTCAGGGAGCTTTAAAATAAAATTTTAACTTCAGCCAACATGGTGATAAAAATTAATTTCCAAGTCTGCATATACGTACGTTTTTAAAGAGGCTCCATTTCCATTTACTTTTGACATCAATATTCCTTATCGGTAAAATAAATTACTGCCTAATGTGAATTTTTTTAATTATTTAAAAAAATAACATTAGTCCGAGAATGACTGGGAACAGCTGATTTATAATCGCGGAGGTAAATGTTGTTCGTATTAATGGGTGGAATTACTATCTTCGTGTGCAAAGTATTTAATAATACCTCCTCTTTATACCCAATAAAATATCACAAAGGAGATTCTATACATGATAAGAACTGCTTTAATCTAGTTGTAACTTATTGAAATAGTTTCTGATGTACCCTTGACATTCATAGATTAAAAGAACCATGACACGACATCCTTTCTTTAATTCACATCTGTTTTCCACTCTTTCTCCACCTTCCTAATCCCGTTTACAAATTTCATTACTGAGACAAATTTCCCCGTTTTAAGAAAGAAGACAAAACACTTCTAAATGGCTGAAAGTCTAACCGTGAAAAGAAAAAACCGACCTCAAAAGTACGTGGAATTATTTCTATTTGCCAAGTTTTATTGAAATATCCCCTAGTTCGCCACTATACACGACTTGACACGGGAAATAAAAATCGGTTCTCACTACTCAAAGTATATTGAGAGAGATAAACGCCTTGAATTGGAGAATAGCAAAACCAACCATTAAAATAATTGCTCCTTTAGTAAAATTTCGGCGCTATTTATAAAAATGAATGTTCATGCGTGACCCTTAGAGGTGAATGATTTTCTTCAAAATTAAATGTGACCACTATGGAGGTACCCTCTTTCCAACAAAAAAAATCATGAAAATCGGTTCACAAATACCGGAGTTGTTGCGTAACATACATACATAGAAAAAAAAACAAAGTTGAATTGCAAACCTCCTCCTTTTTTGAAATCGGTTAAAAAAAGTAGCTATTTCCATAAGAATTATACAAGGTGAAACAAAAAGCTCCGGTGATATTTCATTCCTTTCCCCGTCAACTGCCGTACCCGATATTTTTATGACTGAGTTAAGGAATCGACACACTTATCAACGCGTAATAATAAATAGGTTTGAGCCGATTATAGAAGCATTATGCCCATGTAACGAGAGCAAAAAAGACGTGCATTTTTAACCATGTAAAAGAAGAACACACTTAGTGTTTATCATGGTTAACTTGCTTAAAATATTATTAAGGAGAGAATATTATTAATTATTACAAAAAGGGAAATAGTTTTACAATTCTAATATACTATAGTATATTAGAATTATTAGTATGTAGTATACTACATCTAGTTCACATGTAAATAGAAACAAAAAACAAAAAGTGCCTTATCCTGAATTTAAATCATTCTAGATGATAAATCTAACAATTACTATATAGACATAGAAATTTGTGTTCGGGTGCATTCGGAAATCCAAAGATTGCTGAGATATATTAAGAAAATAGTCGTACTGTAGCTATGCGTCTGACACGAGCTACGGAAAACAGATTCCCTGAGAAAAGCACGCACGAAATTATAGTATTTCTCTATACCCTAAGGGCCAGCGGTAACCGGTGGACAGATGACGGCATATCGGCATCTCCCGCCGTGGTACCTTCTAGCATGCTCTTCAATACCGGAGAGAAATTCGCTGCGATCCTCCGAGGTCGGTCTCAGAGGACCATTAAAATTTATACATTATTTCAATTAACATAGAATAAAATATACATAGATAAACTTAATATTCTCTGCCTACGCGTCCGCCGGCTTACGCTTCTCGTAAGTTCACTATTTTTTTTCTTCTTTTTTTTTATAATATTAAGTGACGGGACGAACAAGTCAACATTTTAAAAAAAACATGCACATTAATAGAACAGTTAACGAACTAACTCACCAATTCAATATAAAACACTTAAAAATAATATCACAGATAAAAACAAAATATGAGACAGGCAAATACGTCTTCTCTCGAAGACGGTTTAAGATACACTAAATGGAATGTTGAGTGATCTCAGCTTTTGTACTATATTGCGAATGGGAATGATGACTAATATTTTTATAATTAGTTTGTTATAGTGTGGTGGTGCTATTACTAAGTCTACTCCATTATCTTCGAGCGGCTCGGACATTCGTCCGACGTTGAAACAAGTATAAAAAAATAAATGTTATAAAGATACCAATTACGTGACACAAGATTACGATTGAAAACCTTTGTCGATAACACTAACATTTTATTATGCGAGGGATTAATTCAATAGATATTTTTCAGTTATTTTAAACACCCAACGCAAAAAAAGGGGAAATTATTGAAGCGTGATTGGCATTGTAACTCCCAAACGGATGAACCTTAAAGCTGTTTAGTTTTGTTTAGGGCTTAATTTATATTGCGGCGAAGTGAATTTTTATGGTCAATAACGTATAAACTGGATACGAGCCAAAATCTTCCGCGTAATGCGCGAGCATTCTCGAACATGCGCGAGAATTCCGCGGGAGATTGTGTACTATATTTGTATCTAGTTTGTACGTTACACAATTCACTAGAAAGTTTATTATGCTATGTACAATATCGCTACATAAATTCGCTTCCATACCGTTCCGCCGCAATATAAACTGAGCCAACCGTGTCCATGGGACCTGTAAAGGGCCCGAAACGTCGGTTTGTTTGAAAAAACAAATATACGCGATTTAAACCCGGAAAAATAGTTTCATTTCCTATAAAATAAATAATTATTATTTTATGATTAAATGCTCAACTTTTTTTTTATGTAAAGAAGAAGGTAAACGAGCCGACGAGCCACTTGATGGGAGGTGGTCATCGTCGCCCATGGACATTTGCAACATCAGATGAGCTGCCTATGCGTTGCCAGCCTGTGAGAGCCCTGTAAACACGCTTTTTGAGCCCCATGTCATAGCGCAAAGGGAACACTTCAGGAGGAAGATAATTCCACACCTTGCAGGTTCGAGGAAGAAACGAACGAGATGCCCAAGTGGTCTTCCAATGCCAGGCATCTACGATGTGGGGATGGATTTTACTCCTTTGGCGGGAGGTGTGATGGTAGAAACGAGACGGTGGCACTAGTTCGAAAAGTTCCTCAGAGCACTCCCCATTATAAAGACGGTAGAACACACACAGAGAGCCAACGTTTCTCTGTAAGTTAAGGGGCTCCATACAAAACTGTTTGAAGATCTCTTTTCGGAGTCAGTGTAGAGGTCTCAACCATATAATGAATTGGAGAATTTTTGAATTCAAATATCTTTATTTCGGAACATTTATCCTTTGTGGTTAGTAACAAAGCACTTAAAAATATAGTTAGTACTACAAATAACACTTTTTTCTAAAACTAATATGCAACCGGGAGCAGTGCTCATGAAAAGAACCTTGGACCCCGTGCAATTATACTCAGGAGGCTGTTGTCGCTGCCACGAATTCTCATGCACCAGGGAAGCCCACTTTTTCGCATGGCAGCTGCAACAACATTCTGAATATGTTATTGTACAAAATTCGTAAATTAAGTTTGATTAAATTTTATGATTATATTAAATGACAAAGTGGAGAAATCAACCAATCACATACTTAACTCGCTGAATTAAAATGTTTTCAACAGAAAGACGCTTATTACTCGGTGAATTAAAATGTTTTTAACAGAAAGACGCTTATTACTCGCTGAATTAAAATGTTTTCAACAGA